GATGTGTCGAAATATGGTAATAAATCATTTTTTAAATCATCGAAAAAATTTACTGTTTGAATAGCATATATCAAGGAATCTGTATCCGAATATAAAGAACTAATTTTTCTACCATATTTCTTTTTCATTACATTATAATGAAAATCATACATAAAAGTTTTCGAAACGTCTAAAATTACAGATCCTACATAAATCGCTTTATCGAATTTAATAGTTTCCTTATGTTGATGAATAGCCATAAGATTCCTAGAGTATATAGTTCTATCCTTAAAGTTAGTTTTTGATATTAATTTATTAGCTTTTTTTTCTGACGAAACCAGTTTTATAGAAGTTCTTGTTCGAACATTCTCCATACATTTTCCAAAAACACTATTAATTAAAAGCTTCCAGAATTCTTTTTCAAACTCGTTTTTGGCTTTTGTTCTCATTTTAGTACAGAATACAATGTACGATGCCATCCATTTCTTTTGAGAAAAGGAGATAGCTCGATGAATTTTTACAAGTTTAAGACCGTGAGATATCGCCTGTTTTAAATTTTTATAATGAACAATATAGTTTTTTTTCGGTAATAGTGTAGTTAACAATTTCTTAACTTTAGAATTTGGCGGACATTCGTTCAACGGTAAAAACGGGAAATCATTATGAGCCTTATGTAAATGTTTTGGGTAGTCAATATCGACTTCTAATATATATCCAACTTCAGAATCATCAGCAATTTTAGTTACGTCTATGTTTAAGTCATCAACCCATTCAAAATCTTTAAAAGGTAATTCTGTCAACATAGATTTTCCATATAAATTTACACAATCAAGATATGTTAACCATGTAATCGGTTCGTTAGAATTATAATTCAATCCTTCAATATTTGGTATGTTTGCTTTAGCAAATCTTTTAGTTGATTGGGTTATCCCACCACGAATTGAATTCTCTATAAACAAAAGCATATTAGGACATTTTAACCTTTCCAACTCGATCTTAGTATATTTAAGCATGCAATCATACGCAAATCCTGGAGCAGTCATATAATGAGCAGGATCTAACTCAAGAGTAGATAAACATAAGTCTCTGAAATTTTCAAACACGTCAGCTAGTATTACCACATCAGTTTTTAAATAAAGATCGCTATATTCACCTAAAGTCTTTATGTTAAACACTTTCCATACATTTTTCGCATGTATATAATCATCATCAGTAATATTTTCATCGGATAAAGAGCTATAAAACTCAAGTTTTGAAGGTAAAAAAGTATCATCTAGTTTACACCAACTATCAACATATTCATACGGGAAGACTCCTTTTCGAGTAACTAGATCTAATACTTTAGTAGAAAATACTTTAATAGTTTCTCTAAACCTCAACTTATCTTCGGATAAATTGTTTGCTAGTTTACTTAATTTTTCAGCCATAAAACGGTATGTGTCCACAAACTTTATATTAAATTTTGGTGCGATTTCTTTACTAAATGATATATATTTTTCAGATGAATTGGGTATAACATGAATATCTTTATCGTTACACCCAAGTTCTCGAATTATGAAGTGACTGTCATATGTCAGATTATGAAAGAAGATTGGTACAAATGACGGACTTGTTAGCTGAAAATTACATTTAACACAAATACATCGTCTGTAATTTCCCGTTATATGACAGTGATCTCGAACTTTTAACAAATTATTATCTTTAAAAGAAGAAAAACATTTTTCACAAACCTTAGCTTTCTGAAAATGTTTTTCTTCTTTTAAAGTTAATTTGTTAATTGGTAAATTAGTTTTATAAATATCATGTATTTTATTTCCTATACTAATCATACTGTTCATAAATTTTTTTGCTGCATTTTTACCTCTATATATTACTACTGTTCTAGGAATTTCAAACTTTTTTATTAATTTTTTCGGTATAATATTATAGTCAACTTTTACATAAAACCCGTAACTCATAAGTTTATGTAAATGTGTAATATGAGTTTTTGGTTTTTTACAACTTTGAATGAATTTATCAGGTTGTTTATGGTTTAAAATACATTCGAAGTCGGCGTATATAACAATTGGGATTCGTTGAGTATTTTTATAGTTTTTGAAACGTATAAAATCGTCATCTCCTTCTTCAAACATTATAGGTCTTCCTAATTTATTTTTAATACACATTTCTTTATGTCTAATTAATCCTGTTTCACCCCAAAGTTTGCTTTTACACGGTTTATTTCCAAAACTTGTAAAACATCTCTTACATATAATCAACTTTGAACGATGTTTAGTTCTTTGACTTCTAACAAACCTTGAGAAGTTGTTAATATAACAATAATGAGATGTATTATTATTATCAAATAGAAATAGGTCAAAATGATTTTTTTTTTCAATATTGGTTATATGTAATGGGTAAATTAAATTTTTATCATTTAAGCTGTAAATATTAATTGATAAATTGTTTATTTTTTCAAATTTTTTTATCTGAGTTATAGGTGTTGGAAAATCAATACATTTAAAATTAAACCCACTTTTTTTTTCTAACATATCAAAATATTTTTTGTTAAACCGAGATTTATTCAATCGATTATCGTACTTAGATAGTATTGAATACTTGAAACATTCATTATCATTATTTTTTATATTTATAACTGCTTTTTTTTTTTTATATGACTAGGTAAATCTAAATATGTGCTTCCTCCTTTAAGAGGATTAACTTTATTAACTCGTAATTGTAAACAATCTATAGATTTAAGTGACCAGCCTGATTTTTTTGATATAAATTGTGCTTCCTCAGATAATAGTTTGTTAAACATTTTGTTTAATAAACTATTAAAATTGGATGATTTAGATGCTAATACGTTTGAAGTTTTAAACGACATATCTTGTACTTCATCCGTTAATAGTTGTTCATACGTGCTATCAACATATAAATTAAATTTAATTGTCGCCTGCTGACTTGATTGTGTTAACCTAGAAATTAACATTTCAGAAACATAATTAAAAAATACATTATAGTCTATTATTTCTTCCTTGTTCTTAACAATATACGTTCTGGAACAGCTTTTAAATCGTTCAATTTCAACAAGTCCGCCCTCAGCTGATTCCATCCGTCTACGTTTAGTGATTGTATTTCTTTTCATTATGTAACTGTAAATAAATTAAAATAAAATAATAATAATAATAATAATAATATTATTTATTAATACATTTTAGTTTTAGTCTATATTCAAAGATTATAATTCTCTGTACAGTGAATTTAAAGAATTGTCTTATAATATATTTAATAATTATTCATAAAAAATTTAAAAAAAAAATTTAACCTGATCTAAACCTTTCACGTTTGGATTCTGCTATCGTAATAAAATCTAACCTATTACCGAAACATTGTTCTCGATTGCGAAAATTTGTAACATATAAATCACTATATTTTCGACATATATCCATTTTTTTTCCCCTTAATAAAACTAATTTTATATTTAACTCTTTTATATAAGACAAATTTGGTTTAGAATTTGTTCTACTTAAATAAATAGTGAATTTGAGGTTTCTAATTTGTTTTTTAAGATCTTTATATTCGTATCTCTCTTTAATTTTATTTTCATCAATAATCTTCGTTAATGCTGCAATCTGCTCTTCATAATATTGAATTTGTTCACAACAATAATCATATGAATGCGAAAAATTCATTATCTGTAATTTTAGCTAACGACATTAGTATGAAATGTATAATTTATAAATCTAATAATTAAAACGATTATTTATTAAACAACATTGAATATACGTATATATATATATATTTATTTACAATGATATAATAATTACTAATTATATTATTACATATTAGTTTTGAATATAGTTTTACAGAAAACAAGAATTTTACAAGAAAAAAAACATAAAAATAAAATTAAAGCAATAAACAAAAAAATTAAAAAATTAAAAAATTAAAAAAATATAGTTTTATTATAGTTTTATTCTATGTTCAAAGAGTCTAGTTCTCTGTGCAGTAAATGCACAGAATTTCTTATACATAATTTACATTTATAAAATGTATATTTCGATTGTTCAAATTCTAATTTAAGTTGTTTTTTTTTCATTTTTTAATTTTTTAATTTTTTTGTTTATTGCTTTAATTTTATTTTTATGTTTTTTTTCTTCTACGTCTTCTTCATCCAAAGTCATTTCTAATAGTTCGTAATTGTCATCAATTTTTCTTTGGATGTAAGTTTCATCTGAACGGGAAGCCATTTTATTTTGAAACTGTAAATATTAATATTTATCTATCAATCAATATATTGAATAAAATAAAAAAAGTCGAGTCATAAAAATTATAAGCGATACAATATTATTTTTCCTTTATATTATATTATATTATATTTAACTCATATTATTTGACAAGTTTTCACAACGCAGTTAAAATATTAATAAAAAATATTGAAGATATAGATATGTACAAGCATATACGTTTGAAAAAAAAAATAAAAAAAATACTATATGCTTGTATTATCTATAAGTTCAACATTATTTACATCTTTTACATCATAGAATTCAATGTTTATAATATAATCTCATGGTTTACATAAACATAATAAGTTTTAATAGTTCTCAATACATTTTCTTTTTACAAAATATAATACATTCTTAGTTATTTATACAACATATTTGTAATAATTAAAATATAATATCTAATAAGAATTATATTAACAATTTTCTTGCATGTATAAAGCGATAATAATTATAATAATAATAATAATAACCAATTATAATGATAGTTGTATATAATAACATTAAAAGCCTTTACATATAATAGGGATACATGAACATGGTTTTGATTAAGAAAATAATCGTTACGATTTTAATATTTACTTTTATCTTTCAACATCATTTTAAAATATATATTAAATAACAATATAATTAATGTTTTACAGTGTATACATTTAAAATAATTTTAATAGTTATACATATTTTATAGTATATAAATATAAAATGAGAAATTATCTATCAAACATCTTAGACAATTGTTTTATTGTTAGTTTTTTATTTATGAGATATATTTCTCATTCTATCTAAAACAAAAAATTCTGAATATGTTACGGGTACAGGTACGGAGTCAATACTAGTAGGGAACGGATTACTTTGTAAATCAACGCCTTTAGTTAAGAACCGTCCACATAATATACATCGTGTATAATAACAATAATCTTTAAACGCTTGTATATCTTTAAATCGAACAAACTGGTATAAAGGATTGTAAGTTCGAAACGTATTACCACTAGATCTTTCATGATGATAACATGCACTGCTACAATACTTTTGGTCCCCAACATTTTGTATACACAGTTCAACTAATGTATAATTTCCAAGTGGATCGGTTAAAATATTTAATACATGGTCCTTTACCATAAATGGATAATAATCTCCTACTAACATAAAGGTGATTTCAGGGTTAAAACGATAAAATTCTAAAGATTCTAGAACACTGTTGATTGTTCTATTTCGTATATTGTTTGAATCGATTGAAAACATATTGTAATTTATAAAAAAATTCAACCCGTAAAGAAATAAAACAACATTAAATTAGATTTATAACTATTTTATGATAGCATAACTAATGTTCAACAATAAAATTTCTATTTTAATTGAATATTGTACACTTATTCGTTTGATTCGTTCCATATGTAACGTACGAATACCTACCTATAATAATTTTTTTATAAAAATAATAGCTATACTAATGATATTATATACTTACATTGTTAATTTGAGAAGTTGAAATATTTGAAAAAAATTGAACTTTTTCCGTGTATGTTTGTGTTGAGCGTTGTGAGACAATATGATATATTATAAGTTTGTGAGACTGTCAATACAATGTTTAAAATGAAAATGTTAACTCCCTGATAATATGAGTACTGTTATATACACGTTTCGTTGAAGTGGTTATTAGTTTTTTATAATAATTTATATAATATTCGCTTCGACTAAACGTCTATATTGCAGTGTTATCAATGTTTTTTTGTTTTTTTTTATTAAACATTAAAGACTGCGGCAGCTCTGTTCATTAACGTAACAGCAATTTAAATTATTATTACTTCCTAAAAAATTATATTATCAATGTAAGGTTAATGGTTATTAGTTTTTATAATAATATATATAATACACATTATATAATATCAGCTTCGACGAAACGTTTATATAACATATGCCAATATTATCAAAGACTGCGGTCAGAGTTTTATAATGCTCAATTTCAAGAATTAATAAAAAAAACTATATCCGTATCTTGTTATTGCAGACGCTGTCCACTACTATTACTGTTTATATTATTATTACTATTGGTCTTAATATAATATAAATTGATTAGAAAATACAAATAGCAAGTCACTTTTAGAGGTAGAACTTAAATCCACTCAACGTATTTTAGCTGCAAATTATCTACTGTTAAAGATATATTTAAAAAAAAATGTCATTTTCTAATTCGAACATTAGTGATTACGAAGAATCAATGACTGAAAGCGATGTAAGTACAAAATTAATATTAATTTATATTTATATATTTTAAATTTATATTTTTATAATATAATATATTTAATAGTTATATTTGAATAATACTGTATTACACTGGTTCAGTATTATACCCATTGAATACGATGTATATATTTTTACTAGATTTTCAGTAACCAAATTGTATATAATTTCAGAACAATTATAACGAAGTAAAACCGGGGACCACAAAAAACAAAATAAAACAAAAAGAGATGTGAAATTGAAAAAAAATATGTGCAAAACAAAAGTTAAAAAAGTATGTAAAAAAAATTAAAAATTAAAAAATTTACAATATAATAAAAAAAACTAAATAAAATTACAATTTTTATTATTATTATTAATACCTATAATTATTTTTTTTTAGAATATTTCATATCTGGATAGAATTGGTCCTTTAATTAAAGATGTGAAAGTAAATAATGAACTTATTAATTCGATGATGGTGAAACAAAGTGATGAAATAGTAAACATAAAATTACCATTTGATAACGAAGTATGTAGTGATTACTGGACAATAAATCATTATAAAATAAAAAATATTCAAAATCTTATTGCTACAGACAGGTAATATATATTATATAAATATATGATTCTTAGAATTTACATGAATACAACTTACAATGACTAACTCCTAAAAAAAAATAATTTAAGAAATTCATTGGTTGATGTATGTAATAGTGAAAAGGTTCTTATAATATATTAATGTGTCTGTATGTATGTATATATATTTGTAATGTAAAATACTTATCATTTTAATGATGTTATAGATGGAAAGAAGCTGAGTGCAGTGTAAAAGTGTCGATAACTGATTTAGCAAAGGATCAAGGACTCGCAAACGATTTATCCAACATCATACAAACAATATTTACACGGTTCATGTCTAATCCAAACAAGAAAATAGGATGTATTAAAAAATCAAAATCATAATAAATCTGGTTTTAATGGCTGTTGAAAATTAAAATAAAAAAAACCAATATATTAACTAATCGTACATTTATTTTTAAAAGTGATACAAAAGTAGTGTATATGATTTAGTGTCATGATGTGTAAAAATAAATTACAGGTTAATAGCTGATGTACCTAATTCTAACTCTTGTAATATCATATTTGATAATGAGTTATAATGATATTGTAATAATTCATACATAAAAGAAATATCATTAGTTTCTATATTAGTATAACTTAAGTTATAATTCTGAATATATGAGTTTGTAAATTCATTCCGTCGACAAGAAGAGGGTAACCCGTTAATATCTGCCATAATTAATGCATATGCTGTGTCAAAAGTCTTCTGGTAACATGGTAATTTTTTCTGCTTCTCGATTATATAGAGATCGATACAAGCTCCAAGCTGATTCAGCCTTTGCAAATCGACATGTGATAAAGTTATATAATTTTCATTAGAATATAATATGATTGAAGACTGTTTCACATTAACGGAATAGCTTAAGTTATCAGTTATTCTTACACGTTTACATCGGTTTCGTAGATTATCAATAATTGCTTTATAATTATTTTCACACATTAATGATTGCCATTGGTCTAGATCGAGGCTTAAACTCTTTTTAGTAATCATACATTTTAATATTACAACAATCGAAATCTTTTTGTTAACTAACAAACCTACTGTTACACTTTTCTTTCCATATTGACGAATTTCAAATTCTGACCTTGAGACAATCGGTGAAATCATACTGTGGCGAGCTTAAAATACTTACCGATATATTTTTGTTCGTTCTGACGATTATTTTTAAAAAAAATTATACTATGATTATCAGAGTGTTAATTGTATACTGATTATATTTTATTCATACAACAACGTTTTATACTAAAAAAGTTAAATACAATTTCAAAAAAGTAAATACGTGACCTAATTGATAAGTGTGGAGGGAGGGAGCTTATTATTAATTATATATCTCGTATTATTCCTGCAAATTAAATGAAACAAACATCTGCTACCTAGATTTGAACCTTATATATTGAATTAAAAACTTCACGTCTTATCCATTAGGTCACGTATTTACAAGATATAGAATGGAATAATAACACATTTAAACTGTTTTAATAAAATACAAAATTTTATTTTAATATCGTTCATACGTTTAAGCAGTTGAGCGAGTGACATATTTAGTTTTACAATTACATTAAGTTCTTCCATATTTGGTTATTATGTTTTCTACAAAGTGGTTACCTTTCGATAATAATACATAAATACATTTGGAATTATGTCTCGAGTGTTCGATCCATGGAATGTCATCTTTCTTCCAGTCATGTAATACAAGTCCGCAAGAGAAGCATTCCACAATATCTTGAACCCCTGTATATATAAAGCCGCATTCAGACAATACATATTTGTTTTGAGGTATAGTTGACGGAAATATATTATATGTTTTTAATCTTGATGTGAATGTATCATATTGCGGATATGTTGGATATGGTTGGTTTCGTATTAAAGAAACTAATGAAGAATAATTGCTGGTGGTTTTTTGAAAGTTCATGTTTTTTTTATTTTAAAGAAAAAACATTAAATTGGAAATTTTTACTTAAAAAATAAATGTATAAGTGAAACAAGACAATAAAATAAAAAGCATAACTTGGTTTAACAACGGATTATTCGTTACTGAAATGTATAGCTAACTTAATTTTAGTACGAGTGACTATAAAAAGTTCAGTGTTGCCAACACTTATGAGTAATACATTGATGGTAAAAACATATTTATTTTGTTTGTGTAACAAAATGATATAGACACAGTTATGTGTTGTGTACTTGTGTTGTACACAACACATAACTTTTACTTGTGTACAATTTGTGTTACACGGTGGAGCATGTAGAAATGCCCCCCTTAAAATGATGAAATCTCCCTGTAAAAAAGGTGCTCAGAAGGAACATTAGGGTTTTTGAGATTATGTGTTACACGGTGGAGCATGTAGAAATGCCCCCCTTGAAATGAAGAAATCTCCCTGTAAAAAAGGTGCTCAGAACGCACATTAGGGTTTTTGAGATTATGTGTTACACGGTGGAGCATGTAGAAATGCCCCCCTTAAAATGATAAAATCTCCCTGTAAAAAAGGTGCTCAGAAGGAACATTAGGGTTTTTGAGATTATGTGTTACACGGTGGAGCATGTAGAAATGCCCCCTTGAAATGAAGAAATCTCCCTGTAAAAAAGGTGCTCAGAAAGCACAAATATATACTACTATAAAGCTCTGAAAACTGAATATTTTAAGAACTGTATACTCGCTAGTATCGGAAAACGGGAAATCACAAAAATGCCGAATTTGTAGATTAAAATACAACTATATCTATTAATAATAGGTATATAATATCCAATTTTATAATCAGCGGTGAAAAGAAATAACACGAAAAATACTCTAGCCTTTATTTTTAAACGATAAATAAAATTATCACCACTTCACTTGTACATAGGCTGGGTCGAGCACGAACGACTAACGTATTTTTCGTGTTGTTTTCATTCACCGCTGATTATACAATTGGGTAGACATTTAGAACAAACAAGGTTCAAGGTAAAAATATTTATTTCAAATAATAAACCAAATATAATAATAATAAATTACTAGTAGTATACCCAGGAGCGACGATGCGTACTGTTACGGCGGAAACACCAATGCTAATCTAATATTGTTAATGATAAACGATAAACCAAATGTCATTAGAAATTATATTGCGATTTGACCTACTATGTGTGTAAGTTAGTCGTTATTGTCGAGTTGTCGCAGAAATAATATAAAATATACAGTCCATTAATAATATAATAGTATATAATCCAGTAGTAAAAAAAATACAAATTTCAATAGTTAAAAATACTTTTATATAGGTATATTACTGTTTTCATTTAATTTTTACGTATTATGTCTATATTTGAACTTTAAATGCTTATAAAAAATATATATTATGGATTTTTATTTTTTTTTATCTGCCTTTGAAACAAATGAAACAATATACTAATATAGGAGCTTTCTATT